GAGGTGTGGCGCGTGACTGGGTGGGGCGGGTCGGGGAAAGCTGGGTCTGCAGGTCGGGAGTCGAGGGGCACCGGCAGAGCTGGGGGGTGCAGGGCTGGGATAGCAGGGGGCTGCGGGTTGGGATTGAGGGGCACTGGCAGAGCTGGGGGCGAGGTTGCTCCATCCCCCATACGTTTCTGAGCATGGCTCTCCCCTGGTGCCATGTGCATGTGCCAGGGGCTGGCAGAGCGATGGGCGCGGGGCATGGCGGTGGCCGAGCGGGTACCTGGGCACAGGGTGGTGCAGGCGTTTTTCTGCACGTTCTGGCCCTCACAGAACGTTCCCCCGTTGAGGGGCGCTGGGTTGGTGCAGCTCCGGCTCCGCTTCTGCCAGCCCCGTCCACAGCTGGTGCTGCAGGCCGACCAGTCTGTCCAAGTCGACCAGCCGCCGTTCACTGGGGTGGGAAAGGGATAGAGTCAGCGCGAGCCTGGGCGCCGGGCACAGGCTGCACTGGGAGGCTCCCAGCTGGGCTCCCTGGAACGGCGGGCTGGGTGCCCGGGCGGGGGCTGCCCACCCTGGGGAAGGCGCCGCCCGGGGGTGCCCTGCTCCGGGGGGATTCGCTGGCTCCAGGGGAAGCTTCGGGGCTGCGGGGAGATAGACAGGGAGACACGGGGGGAGGGGACACAGCTGGGGGGTCCTGCTTTGCTGGGGTTTCTCTGCGTCACAGCTGGCTGCAGACCCGCCCCGCGCTGCCCCCGCGGCTCCTTACCGTACACGGTCACGGCGGCGGAGGAGCTGCGGCGACGGGCCACCATGTTCTTGGCCACGCAGGTGTAGTTGGCCGTGTCAGCCAGGCGCGCCCGCGACACCACCAGGCTGTGCTCCGGCGTCACGTACACGCTGGCGTCCAGCGCCGGGTCCACCAGCTCCTCGTTGCGCAGCCACTCCACCTGCGGGCAGCGGCCGTCAGGCAGGGGAGGACACGGGCGCTGGGGCAGGCGGGGGAGGGGTGGACACGGGGCGCTGGGGCAG